TGTAGAGTGAGTTATGATCTCAAACCAAGAAAAATATAAATTCTTAAATAGACAAAATCTATAAGGAAGACAAGAAAATTTGCAAGATTTATAATACTTATAGATATAAAAAATGCATACAAAGAGAATATAATGAGATATCACAATTATACATGATCAGAGTTACTCAATTGGACTTATAATCATGTTAAGATAAGAATTACCACTGTAAAAAGTCAAAATATAGATGAAAAAGTATTTTAAAAATGAAAATTTGAATTCCTATTAGAACTGGAGTGTTTCAGCGCTATGCTTGGAAGCTCTATAGTGCTAGGCTTGAGAGCACAACAACACCAAAAATCACCGCCGTGATATTAGAGGCTATGTTCTAAAGTAATTATGGATTCAACATGCAACGCAACTATGATGCTAGGTCATTAACATTATATATACAATCTCTCCTAAAATCTTAAACATTAAGCAACCAACCGCCCCATTCCTCCCAATTTTGTATGGCTTGTTGTGGAAGAAGAGAGGGAAAGGGAGAGGAAGAGGAGAGAGAGAAGAGAGAGAAAGATAGGTTTTGGTCATTTTCATATATTTTCTCATTCAGGAAAAGTTTTCTGATCATTTTAAGTAGCCTGAATCGCACTCTAGTTTTCAATGATTTTGAGTTTGATGAAATTTAATCTCTCCTAAATCAATAAAAATATATTGTATTCCAATTTATTACACTTCAACCATGTAACTTTTTGTATATAATATATATAAACTTTATGGATATTTTGATTAAAATATTACTTAATTTTACTTGTTAAAATGAAAGCTATAATTTTCTGAAGCTGTAGACTAAAATATAGATTTTCTATATTTTATAGATTTAAGTATTTCTTGATTCATTTCACACATTAAAGAGATATTGATACAATTTATATATGATAAATATGATATTTGCGTGTAAATAAAGAAGACTAATTATTAACACTATAAATAATATGAGTTGGCTATTAAAACATTATATGCATTAGGATGGGCCGATAAACTTTATTTTAAAGATAGTTTATAGTGTTATCCTAGTTGTAGCATGCAACTGATGATCACTGATTATGCCGACTTGCAAAAGGTGATGGCTTTTATTGATTTATTGAAAATTACATGTAATAATAATGATAATGATGATGATACAATGATATAATGAATATAGATGGAATGATGAAATTACTATATTAAAGTTGGATGTCATGTCTTACTAAATCATATAATGATGCATCTATACTATACATTGATAGTATTGATAGATGGATTAGCAATGTGTGTGTACATATAGTATATGAACAATTACATGAACTGATTTCATATAATAAATAATTGATAAGATGGACAAGACTGATGACATTGATACATGAATGTTCATTACATACAATACTAATTTATTGATCACTGATTTATTGATTATAAATGTATTTATGTTCTCTATTGTTGATTTATTGATTTAAGCATGCTATTTTTTAATCTTTTGTTATTGATCATATTGAATCATACTAGTTATGACTGATCATTGATTTATTAAATGTTATTGATTATACTGATCAAGATGAGCATGCATATTGATTTCTTAAATCTTATCTTGAAAGCTTTAGTGAGTTTTGAGTTTCTGTTTGATTTGTAAGCTCATTATGTGGTTTTATTAATTTTAAGTCACATAATTGATCAGAACTTTATGCAATGAGATAGATTAAGAACTTCAAATTTCTTATTTTATTTTGCATATTTTTGTTGTATTATTTTATAGTCAAGAGCTATTAATTGACTTATTGATTGTTAGTGATTTACTAGTTATTGTAAATATGATTTTAGTGAATTAATATAATGAAATATTTTAATGTATATGATATTCAATTGATTTTACTAGATAGATTGATTTATATTGGCCACACATTTAATTTTAAGATTTTTTTTTTGATAAATTAATTTTAAATTGATTATTAATATTTTAAATTAATAGAAAATATTTTACTTTAGAGCCTACTATAATGCACGATTTTTAGAAAAATCATATAACAATAAAGAGTCAAGAAGGCAACCTGCAAACCAATTAAAAAATAGTAAAACACAAGGAGTCAAATAAAATAAAGAAAAAAAGATTGTATATAGTTGAGCTCTATATTATGCAACATTATCTTAAATCTATATGTCAATCAAAAGGCAACAAGTTATAAATATCAGGAATTCCCTTATTTTAGTTTGTATTAATTGGATCATCATCAATTCTCTTGGTTTGATTGGGCTTGAATGTACTCTTGGCTCATCCTGAGTTCTCTTGGTCTGTTTGGTCATAGATGTACACCTATTTTTAAAAGTTCCATTATATGTTATGTGTATTACAACATAAATATCACTGATGGATAAAGACACCCTAAATTAATCGTATCAGATAAATTATTGTAAAATAATTCTAAGGACTATATGTTTAAGGTCATTTAGCATACTGAGTTTTAAAACTTCATATCTAACTCTATTTAGATAGTGTTTCCAAATCATTAGTGCAAATGCAACCTCTAATAATTTCATATTCTGTGTAAAATAAATTCTTTCATGAATTTTTAGTTATTTGTAAGTAAATGCTACTACTGCATATTTCATTTTGACATAACATATTTCCTCTAATGTTGCATAATGATAAGTAAACATATTCATTAGAGCCATGTATAAAAAAACTTTTATTATCTGGATATTAAAGATAAAGATTATTGATAAGCTCAAACATGACTTATTATACATAATAAAAAGCTTGTTGGATCTCATCCACATTAAATGTCAATGGTGATAATATTTGATAATAGGAGAAACTACAAAATTGATTTATGTTATAAGAAGTTCCCCCTATGTTATTAACATTTGCATAATTAGATGGAGAAAAACATTTGATATATCTTCATTGCTCAAGTGTGACATGGATAATATGAATAAAAGATGTTGGATGTATAATTTATTGGTGCTTGGACGGAAGACATTAATATATGAGTTTGTTAATGAGATGATTTTTTTTAAATCCAATGAGCATATTAACTACATTACTTTATTTAAGATGGAAGGTTTCAATGTTTCATTATCCCTATTCCAAACATAAAAATCAAGTGCACCTCACACACCATATGAGGAAACTGTCTATCTATATCGTAGAGGGTTCTTATCAAAATATTAATATTGGGCTTCTCGTTGTGAATATGAGCGATATATATTTCGAATCTCGATGCGACCCATCTACAAGTTCTAACATAGATGAGGAAGAAAACATCATGATGTTCGAGGACTTAGTTTATGATGCAACTGGGTCATAATTTCAATAATATATATAAGAGTGCTGAAAAGAGGCATATAACTAAGTCCACTCATAGAATGTGGTGAGAAGGTAGGAGTTCATCCATTTGTTTAGGGCGACAAGCTGGCCTTACACAAACGAAGACTCTCCACCAAGAACCATATCTCTAGCTTCAACTATCAATTTTTTTTATAGGGATTTCCTTACATTAAAATTAGGGTTTGGTTGTTAACTATTTAAGTGGCTTCCGATTTTCATGAAATTGTCTTGGAGTCTAAGCACCAATTATGAAAACTTGAACTCATTTGGAGTATTTTTAGATTTATAGTCATTTGTTGGTTTTAAAATTGAATTTATATGCAGACATTAATAAATCCTATTTTATCCCAAAATGTTTGGAATTACTTTTCATTATTTTAATATTCGTTATGGTTATAATGTAAATTATTTTGTACTTATATAATAAGGTCTCCTACCCTAGCCTTTAGTTAGGGTTAGAAATTTTTTGAAATTAAAAACAAATTATTATCACCCTCAAGTTCAATCCTTATAAATTTGAGGTCACATGAAAATAAAATAAAATTTAGGAATTTTTTTAAAATTTTTGATTAGTTTCTTTAAAGAATTATTAAAGATACTAACCATGTTATCCTGGTTTTAAAATTTTTTTCCTGAGCTTTAGAAGATGAGAGGATCATTGTAAAATTGGATGTCGGGACTTAAGGTTTTACTTTATTTAATTAGAGTAATTATATTTAAATCTTGATTATTGATGTTAGCTATTGATGCTTTTATTGATATTTGAAGGTTATATGATATAAATTAAGATTTATTGATGCAATTCATTCAAGTAAAGATGACTTTAAAAAGAAGAGAAGAGTTCATAGTAGATAGACATCTGTTTTTAATGACAAAAAGAAGTTAAACTCCTTATTGTTATTATCCTAAGTTGTCTATACCCACTGGGAGGATCCCTTTATTATGAGATAGATATTTATAGACTTTATTTAGAATGACTTTTTCATGGTGAAGAGATGTCACTTGTCATTATTTGAGAAGTATTATCTTGCCAATTATAATTACACATATGTGAATTCTCGTATCCTCTTTTCAGAGGGAGCACAAGAGTACATATTCTTTTTTAGGTCTTTAGATGTATAATTGAACTCAGTTCACTTTTGATAGTGCACACCTAATACCAGGGATTTTCCTGCCATTGCTAGAGGTGCCTATTTATGTAAGTATGATGCATATTCTTGAGTGTTAATAAAGTTGACCGAATGAATTAGCAATGAGACTTGATAGAATCACAAGTGTGAAGCGTCCATTAGAGTTCATGCCTATGATGCTAAAAAAAATTGTGCTGACGGAAAGGTCATGCTATTATGATACTCAAGTTGAGCTGTTTAGTGTGTCATCTTAGTTCTAACTTATTTGACTATATATTACGTCACTTGATTCATCTGCTCGTTCACATTTATTCGTTCTAATATTAAATAGATCCATATTTTTTGGCATTGAAATGAACTATTATCTATTGAGAAGAGTAGTTATACTCTAAGAGTCTAAGTTGACCTTATACTCTACATTGGTATATTTTATATGACCACTTAAATTAATATAATCACTAATTAGAGAAATAAAAAAATATGTAATTAGCTTTTTATTTATTGTTTTTTGTGCAGTGCGAGTGAAGGTGGGGAGTATTTTCACCGGCAGTGGAGTTTGAGATTGTCGGGAAGCCGACTCGGCCAATTAAAAAAGAACAGGGCAGAGTGAGCCAAGAGGCTTGAGATCGGCCATCTTTTACTTTTTTGTCCTCCCCTTCTCTAACCCTAACCCTAATTCCTGGTGGATCTTTGGAGCAGATACGCAGATCCGTCTAGGCCTTGCTGCTCCGTCTCGTTCCCGACCGATCTTGGCCGTTTGATCGATTCCGCGTCGCAGATCGGGAGGGAGGGGCAGGAGTAGAACATGCCGTCGCAGGCGGATCTGGACCGCCAGATCGAGTATCTTAGGGAATGTAAGTTCCTTCCGGAGGCGGAGGTGAAAGCCCTCTGCGAGCAGGCTAGGGCGATCTTGATGGAAGAGTGGAACGTTCAACCAGTGAAGTGTCCCGTGACGGTTTGTGGAGATATCCATGGCCAATTTCACGATCTAATCGAGCTCTTCCGGATTGGTGGAGAGGCCCCGGATACAAATTACCTCTTTATGGGGGATTACGTAGGTTAGTTTTCCGGAAGAAGATATCAACTTGAGATTTTTATTTCTCCCATGTTTTATTATTTATATTTTTATTTTTCTTTCACGATATGTTGGATTACCTGCTCTTTAGGTGTCTTCTACAAGCTATACTCTTGATGGCGAATAAACTATTCACCCGCAGATGTTTAAATTTGACGAGTCTTATGAGATGTTTTGGTTAAGATCCAAAAAATAAAGTTTTTTTTTTTTTCACAGAGCTATCTATTTAATTATTGGTATATTTTTTTGCTTTTTCTTTTCAATTTAATACTCCTAGATAAAAGAATACCTTCTTTTTGCTGTTCTGAGAGAGAAGTGTGTTGGTTGGGAGCTTTAGCTGCCAATGAAGAGGTCTTGGGTTCGAGTCTTGCGTATATGTGATGTATGTGTGAGTTTGCCTTAATTGGGCTAAATGTTCCCCCCACCACCACCACAAAAAAAAAAAAAAAAGAAGTAGAAGTTGGCAAGGAAACTCTAAATTCTGACATATTTGGGTCTATTTGGTACCATAATTTGATCATGATTTAACCAATATTTGCTAAATAGAAAAAGTGTCAGCTTTAAATCTTACATCCTGTTTCTCATCTGTTTTATCTTAAATCCTAGGTTTAGTAAATCCCATCTTTGAGCTGATTTAACTTAAATTCACAAGTCTCATGAATTCCTCTTCTTCACACAACGCTATCCCATCAATGCTTAGTCCAACGAGCTCCCATAGTGGGTTCCTCATTTTTTTGTTGCTTCTTTGTTGTCGAGAGTTTTATTACTTAAAATTATTATTATACAAACAAAGGGATCATATTGTGTCAATTAAAAATTAAATTAATCATAATAATTAATATTAGTTAATTAAAATTTATTAACTTAAGTAAGTTGATATTATTTATGTATCTTTGATTTGATTTGTCTAAATTATTATTTAAAATTGTGCAATAAAAGTTGAGTCTGTGACTCAATTCTATCCTTAGTGCATTTTTGAAAAAAAAGAAAAAAGAAAAAGCACCTTGAGGTGTAGGCCTCTCTTTGTCCTGACTAGGGCTTATGCCCCTGAGGTACAACACAAAGCACAACCTGGCAATTTTTAAGAGTGCAAGTTTAAAAAATTAGGGTTTATGTGATTTAAAAATATAATTTATAAATTAAATATAATTAAAAAAATTCATATTTTTATTTTTCTACACCTAAACCTAAAACAAACTGAACCAAAAATCAAAATGACGCACACCTCCTAAAATAATGACACACACCTCTTCAAATTCCAGTTGCATGTTGCGCTTGCACTCGACACTACTCGCAGTCATTAGCTACAACTGAGGATGAAGGATGAGAGAAAACAACTTATTAATGATGATGTTTCTCGTGCACAATAAGCGATGAGGGTGGGGAGATTTTTTTAATTCATAAATTATAATCAATGACTTAGACTACTTGCTTATGTTGAACTGAGAAACGAGAAAATTACTTTTATGATCTTATTTTGTTTTGTTATGAACTTACTTGATATCTTACCTTAATTTGATGTTGGTATGTTTATGGGTGTAAGTGAGCCGAGCTGGCTCGAGTTCGACTCGTTAATGAGCTTGCAAGCTGAGCTTATCGAGCTGCTAGCTCGAGCTTGATGAGGTTCGGCTTGTGAGGTCGCGAGTTGGCTCGTTTACTAAATTAATAATTATACTTGTTGCGTCATGGAGTATTCGCGGCGATAGAGAAATATATAGTTTAACGTCTTAGCATTATACGAAGATCCAGCACACAATCAGATAAGTGAGAGGGTGTAGCGTTCATAAGAGACACCAGAGTTTTTACGTGGAAAAACTCTAAAAAGGGGGAAAAACCACGGGGCCTGTCCCAGTTTGAATGAATCCACTAGTATTTGTAGTCGATTACAAATGAGGCCTTCTTAGGGAGAAGGCCTTGGCTTGATGTCACAAATGTATATCATATAGAGTGTATTACATGGTGGGAGTTACAATAGATGTATTTGTTTTGTCAGCACGACCATAGTCGATAGGATGGAGGTCAGAAAGACCGTTATCTGGTGATTGAGGTCGGAAGGACCATAGTAGGCGACAGAGGTCGGGAGGATCGTAGTCGGCAGCAAGGTTTTAAAAGGCGAAATCGGGAATCGAGGCGTTTTTTCCAAACGAGGCGAGGCGTAAGCCTCGAGGCAGATCGAGCATAACCTCAAAACGATTAAAATAAATTAATTTAAAATTATAAATAATAAAAAAATAATATAATATTATGTCAACTATTAATTTGAAGATTTGTTTTAAGATAATATTACTATAATACAATATTTTAAATAAACTCACTTAAAATAAAACATCCCCTTAGGATCAAGACCCAAAGCAGGCTCGTCATCACTTTGATTGTCTTCAGAAGAATCTTCATAATTAATGTCAAAGTCATCCTCAAACTCTTCTTCATCTATAATATTTTTTCCTTTATCTCCTATATTAGTTAATATTTCATTAGCTATAAAATGAAACAATAGTAACATACAAAATAATT